AGCCAGTATGGCTGGCTGGGGAATTCTGGGAGTTGAAGTCCACCCATCTAAAACTTACCAAGGTTGAGAAACACTGGTCTAGGAGGTAATTAATGCATCTTTACAAAAACAAAAGAGGGTCCCCAGAGGACTCTTCCTGCCTTCTCTTCTTATCTTGGTCCTCTTGGGGGGCAGATGGGCATACTTTCAAAGAAAACACTAAACTACAACTGGTCCTTATTTTTATTTTATATGAAAGCTTGTGTGGTCTCTTTAGGGCACAAGGGCATTCTTGGAAATAAAGATAATGCACTTCGATTTTCAACATCCAAGCTTCCCCAGCTTTCGGGGTGGGGGGGTTGTTGTTGTTGTTGTAAAAAGACATATGGTGAAGGGAGTCTGGAAAGGATCATAAGAGTTGTTTGAAGCACATTGGTAGATTCTGGATGCCATGGTGGCTTAGCATGTTCCCTATTGCAGAATAAAAGTACTATCCATCTGTCTTTGGAACAGCAGAAACCAGTAAATTTCAAAATTTTAATCTAAATTTTAATCTGAATTTCAGGGGGTTGGACTCCATGGCCTAAATGGCCTCTTCCAACTCTGCGATTTTGTACAGACATGAAATTTGCTGCATTCATTATCAATCCCTCACTTACCTCTGTGGGCTGTTTCACGGGTAACTGTAATCACCTGACTCTCTCCAAGCTAAGAGGTGACAAAGCCTAAAAGATTTTGAACATCTTAAGGCTGCACTCAGATTACATCAGAATAAAACTGGTGAAGCTAAGGCAATGTATGCCTGCCTTACTCACTGGCAAGGGATGACATGAAGACAACATAATGGGGAAAAATATGTTGCCAGGTTCATTATGTGGTTAGGTGCAAGTGGGAAAAGTCCCATAAACTGGTGCACAATGGTTACTGATTCCTACCCAGAAGATACTCTTTAGTCTCGATGATTACAAGATAATAACTTTCATAATCACTCATGTATATTATCATCATCATTTAAAAATAGAAGTCAAGAACAAACATTTTAAAAAGGATTGGACTTTCATGTAGTAAAAAATGAATGAGGGAGTGGGGAGAAGAGACTTCTGATCATTACATATATTCAGCATGGTGATCATATAAGCTACAATCATACAAAGGGCTAAAGATTAATATTTGCACAGGTGAAGCCTGTAAATGCACTCAGCTATTCTCGTATCCTCACAAGCTGCTGATTCACTACAGAGTGCACTCAGTGCATAGTCATTGGAGAATAGGCTTGCTTCAATTGTTAATGAAAACAAAAAGCACACTCCAACGTTACGTCCTCATTCGATGCATTATTCTCTCTTGATTCCCCAGGTAGACACTTGCCTGACAGTGCAAATAAATCCTCATCACAAAATATGTTTTGAATATTTTCTTGCCCCAGATGATGTCCTGTGGCACTAAAGCCAGCTTCGAGGCATAGCTCAGTTCATAAGCAATTTTTTCTGTAATAATGCCTCCCCCAGATCAATTGTCCCATTTTGTAATCAGTTCTGTGGAGTGAAGAACTTGGAGGCTTGTGTGCAATCCCAATTCCTACTGACCCCCACAATTTATTCTTATTAACAAAGATATGCCCTTGCTTTACATTCCATGGCATAGGAGGTACCAAAAAACTGTGTATTCCATCATAACCAGCCTTGAGTGAATGTTTGTACTTTTATTATTTACTACTTTGATGTTTTTTGTTGATCCAGATAAATAAATTGCACTAGAATAACTGACTCTGTCTTGGAATAGGTTGTGGTATCAAGGTACCTTGACCTAGTTTGTGCTTAGCTTCCTATAGCAACTATAATTTTCCTGAGGAAAAAATAAGATTAGGCAGTCACCATAACAGTTTCATTATCTGCTGTTATGCCTGCTTGGGTAAAATAGAGTATTTAGCATCATGCCCTCCCTCCTCCAGTAGGGATAATACATGTTCTCCTCTGTAGATGCCTTTTCCTCCAACTGGTTAGTACCAAGGCAGAAGGGATGTTAATAATCTGGTCACGAGTGGAACAATCTTTCTCATTATGTTCTTCCAAACCAGAAATGTCCCTTTTTGCCCAGTTAAAACATATAGCAAAAGGGAAAGGATGAAAAAATAAAACTAAGTGTGGCTGCAGTTTCAGAAGTCAAAAGCCAGTTCTCTAACATTGGTGGATGGGGTGTGTGGTTAGATGGTATAAAAATGCTAAGTTTACATAGGCACCTGTTTTATAAAAACATCTAATAATTTCAAAGGGATAGTCAGTATGACACAGAATTCATTTGTTTCAAAGAATAAGCATTTCTGTTTAATTACTGATGGTCTGAACATTGCAGGTCACTCTTGCAGTTTTGTTGTGTATGCAGTGGACATCTGACATGATCATACTTGTTTCCATTACAGCTTATCTGGCAATGGTGATTGCGGCCTGCATCTTGAATTTTCACAGAGCCTTGGCTCTCTTCATATTCACTCTCCTAGCCATTTTTTTCATCTGTTGGGACTTTTTGATAGCCAGATATGAGGGTAGAATTGCAGAATCACTTTCTCCTTTTGGAAGATTTCTGAAAGCTCAGTGGTTTTGGCTGAAATGGTAACTAACCAAATTTCCTTTTTTTAAAGAGTGAAAATGAGATTATGAAGTTGTTTGTGGTCTTCAGTACTATATAATGCTATAAATGATGTTACATTTCCTCCTATCTACTAAAAAATAAAAGGGCTTTGGGATATTAACTCAGGATAAAATTTCAGTTTCCTTTGTCGTAATTAAATACAATTCAGTATCTTTGTAAGGCATGTACTATAAAATACACAACACTGTCAAATATTAAAGTAGCCCCTGTGGCTGTGTTTTTAACAATACTTTGGCAATGATTAGTAGATGAAAACATTTAGCCTGCTGTCAGTTAATGCATCATCAAACTGATCATATAGGAGTAGTAGCAAAGCAATCCAGTTTAATTGTAGCTATTTAGTAGCCTTGTGTGGGGGAAAGATTGAGTATTCTGAAACATTTTTGTAGCTAAATTAGCAGGACAACATCACTTTATAATCATACATTATTGAAAGCCTATGTTCAGAGAAAAATCCCAGTGGTCATTTGATATGCTCATATACTTGCTTACTTGGGAGTAGGAGGACACTTACTCCCAAATATCTTTCAGTCTAAAGCAGCTTAAACTGCATCAGCTCCAACTAGTTACTGTATAAAAGTCTAAAATATATACTGTACTCTTATACTGGTATTTTAAGTACATTGAATTGGTTTCTTGACTTTCTGAAAAAATGCCTTGCACCTAAAATCTTTACAACAGTATTATCCAATTCAAATACCAGAATGGATATATATTTGGTAACGTTCATACCTTTTGCTGCAAAATGTTTATACCTGGTGATCCAACTTTCTTCTGTCAGACCCACATGCCCACATATCCAGAAGTGTTGGAATTCCATCGCATGCAGCGATGAGTAAAGCTAAAAGAAGTGGTGCCAAAAAATGATGGTACTGCTGTTCTATGCCTTTCTGGCTACCTTTTTTCCCCTTGGCATCCATTGTACTATTCTGAAATTAGGTTTAGCCAATCTCTTGACCAAAGCAACCCTTTAGTCTGCATTTTAATGACAACTAGATGGCAGAAGAAAATTCAGAAGGTTATGTTCTCCCCATTAATGGGAGTCAAATGTCTCTCTCTCTCTCTCTCTCTCTCTCCCCCCCCCCCCCCAATTTGATCTGCTAAGAGTTTGACAAACCAACTGTTTTTACAGTCCAAGGCCAATACAAGCAAGTTATCAAGTGTCTGATGGGAAAAAATACATGGATGGTGTGTGTTTAGTTATAAATAGTTGTGAGAGAGTGTGGCACTGGTATAGCCTAAAACAGGAAAAAAAAAAAAGAGATAGTCTAAAACAAGGTTATGATCTTTCCCATAAGTCATTCACTGCATTGTTTGAATACCTTTTCTCTAGGGTAGTGTGGATCATCTTAATAGTTGCTGCTGTGTGCTGGTTAATCTTTGATACTGCCAAGCAAGGGACAAACCAGCTCATTTCCTTTGGTGGACTTATCATGTATATTCTCTTGATGCTGATCTTCTCCAAATATCCAACTAAAGTGAGTGTTCACAATCTTTCATTTATATATTTACTTTCATTTAATGTCTAATTGCAATGTGCTGGGTAAACTCCTGATGATATAGCTTATTGACTACCTTTTATTTGTGTCTTTATTTTACTTTTTTTAACCTTTTTTTTAACCTTTCCCAACTGAATGTCCTCCAGATATATCAGAACAACTCCCAAAGTTCCCAAATAGCATGACATTTGGGGATTCTAGGAAGTATAATTCCAACACACATGAAAGATACTAGATTGGGAATGTTGGGTTGGACTAAACTATAATATAAAAAAAATCAGCATTCAAAAAAGGGCAGAAATTTGTGAAAGATAGGTGCTCAATTCTTTCTGCCCTTTGCATCTCCTCCACAATACCTCTGTCCAAGCCAATGTTCTAAGATGGCCTAGATTTCCACTTGATACATGCTTCCAAAGCTAGTGGCCAAAAGCATCTGTTCAAGTCAAATATGTATATCGTGTCTTTAAAAACAGTTTTTCCTACATGAGTCATTCTCAACATGCAAGGTAGACCTTGGCAGGAAGGAATATATAAAACAGAAACTTAAATTTTCATCATAATTATTATTCTACCTATGACCAAACCTAGACCTTTGTTTTTTTAAAGGTTATCACCCTGGTCCACCCAAGCCTTTGTGGCAAGTTGGCTGGCATCCATGGAGGATTGCTGGATTTTTTAACAACTGGGTGGCTGAGTGGGTGAGTGAATGACTCCAGCTGATTCCAGCAGAAAATTATGTAGTTGACCCAGATTCTGGGATGTGAAGCCTAACTTTGGAGATAAGTTGTTACATATCCCACTTCATACTGGATAATTCTCTGTTTGAAGGCATTCTCTGTTTCAGGAGTGAGACAATTATCTTGTTGCATTGCACAACAGTTGTTTTGTTTTTTCAGAGATGGCACAAACTGAGCTAAGCCTATCTGAAGGCCTGTATACTTTATTTCTTCTGTATCTTGTTAGGAATTGGCAGAAAAAAATGCCACTAACGTTCATCAATTTGTTGATGAGTTTCAGCAACACAATCCCCTGTCTGTTTAAAGGGCTGCTAGTCCAAAACTAGTTCAAGGATAAAGAGCCATAAGTTTAAATTGCCCATCAACAGCCCATCTCTCCAGACATAGAGGAAGTAGAGGTCCCTTGATCACACTTCTCTCTGCTATACTGAGATTTGTTTATTTTTTGTAATGTTTATCATTTTTAATCTGGCACCTGTGCATTTAAATTAGCATATCCAAATACACTGCAAATCTGTATCTCTTTCTGGGTTATACAGTTCCTTCTTGCAGGGTGGTGAGAAAGAAACCCTATTAAGAGACAAACAAAGGCTGAATGAAGAATGTAGAGATTTGCCAGTGTATGCAGGAATGCTAGGCTGCATATTTAATAAAGTCCCATCTTGCTTGCTTTTTTACTGCTTTTCTTGTTTGAACAAAATGAATGTCTGTTCTAAATCACCTAGGCTACATAATATGAGAGGAATGTGATTTTATTACCAGAAAATCTGGTTTACTTTTTCTGCCCTGGCTTCCATAACTAAGACAAGGCTTTCTTTTAAGTCATTTTCATATTCACTTCCTTAGTTCATTATGTCTCAGCCAGCTGCTTCCAAACCTTTAAAGAAGCTGCCTTCTGTCTTGGGAAATACAGAGTGTAGCAAGGGATTTCACAGAGACACTAACTCTGATAACTCAGCCCCCAGCAACACTTTAATTTCTGGGAAAAATGACTGGATTGATGTTTTACCCAGAACCTGCTTCCCACATCCCTAACAACAGAAAGGAACATTTATGAGCCCTTCATTACAGTATATTCTTCCATTAGTCTTCCTTGCCCCTGCCTGGCCAATTTTATGACAGTTAAGATGAACACAGATAGAGCTTCACCTGATGCTATTCCTTTGAAAACTGTGTAGGCTTATAGAGGGGAGGGAGGGGGAAACCAATCAAAGGAAAGAACTGTTCAGACTGGACACTTCATATAGTTAAATAAATGAACCATGGAGTTTATCGTGTCAAAGTCTTCCAAGTGACCATACCTGAAAGTTGCCAGCTTACCCAAAACAACATACAAAACCACAAATATTCTGCAACCTACTTTAAGGTGATTGATTTCTAAGTGAACCTTGAATTAAAAGCACCAATTTGAGGCTTCCATTTAAATATAAACCTGTGTAGACAGTTAAATAGTGTGGAAATGAATTTATACAAGAGGAGATATAGGACCATTCTTGCTGGACTCATTCTGATATTCATTGCAGGTTGGAAAGAACTTAGATCAGGATGTTTTGTACATACCACCAATTAAGTATATTCTAATCATACTTTGTGGAGTTTTCCTTTTTATGAGATACAGCCTGCACACTAAATTCCTGCTGTGCTGGCTGTATGTTTGTTTGTCAATGATCCCAGTGCTTGGATTATCAGTCAAAAGCCTATCCCCGGATTCGCCTCAGTTTTAACAAAATTAAACCTTCCACATCGTATTCTAAAAAACTGTAGGGGGTAGATGCCAAAACTAAAAGAGAGGCGCCTTCTGACCTCCCTGTAATTTAAGCAGAGTTAAGCCTTTATGCACAAATTTTGAATGGACACTGCCTGTTGGAGTAACTGTAGTGTTGCCTTTTTCTCCCCCCTCTTTCTGGTGTCCAGTTTTCCAGTTTGAACATATCCACAAGGCTAATATTTTATGCTTATGATGCCAAAAGCTTCATTAGTTAATTCTGCTGTCCAAGGCACAAAAGCTAGCAGGAATATATTCCACCCACCCTCCCATCCCTGATAAGACTACCTTAAGATAACAGTTCTTGGTCTTTCCTCTTTTATACTACCATAAATATATAAAGAAAAGCAAAGGTATCTGAATGTAAGAAGTTCCAATACTCAGAAATTGTCCAAGAATAATTAAACATAGCATTATGAAAGGGGGGTGTTCCACATTTAACCCACAGTAATTTACCCATCTAATTGCATTCTTTTTGGAAATTACCTGCAGAGTTGAATTTGGGAACATAATTAAATGACGGTAATCCTCACTAACCAACCACTCATTCAGCGACTGTTTGAAGTTACAACAGTGCTGAAAAAGGAGACTTAGACCAGTCCTTGAAGTTGCAGCTGTTACAGCGTCCCTGCAATCACATGATTGTGATTCGGGTGCTTAGTAACCAGCGCACATTTATGACAGTCACAATATCCCATGGTCATGTGATCACCATTTGCAACCTTCACAGCTGGCTTCTGATAATCAAAGTCAATGAGGAAGTCGCAAGTCACACTCGTGTGATGTTTTGCTTAACAACCCACGGTGATTTGTGTTGTCATGGTCATGTGATGTTTCACTTAACGACCATGCCACTTTGTGGCAGAGTTGCCAATCTCAATTTTGGTCATTAAGTGAGACAACCTGTACATTCAACAAGTGAAACCTACAATAAACATTGCAGAATATTCTTATCTTTTATTGCAAATCTTTTTGCCCAGGGTTCCAGGCCACTAAACTCTCCTGTCCTCCAGGACATTATAAACTATAATGCCGCCTTTTCCAGTATTTTCCAGAAGTGTGGATCATCTCCAAGAATTCTTTAGTCAGCATGGCCTTTACCAATAATTTGCACAGGTTGAAAGGTATTCAGATTGAGGAAAGATGCTGGAAGGAAATCAAACAGGATTTGATGCATAACGTTTTTGTCTTACTTCTAAATTTATTGCAATTATTTTTTTAAAAAATCCCCCCACCTCTTTTGCAAGCGTATATGTGTTTGGAAGAAATATGCAAACATATTTCTTCCAAACACACACACACTCACACACACACACACATATATATATATATATATATATTCCACTCATTTCAGTGGGATATGGAGTCGTTGGTGCTCTCTGAGCTTGGTTGTTTGCTTGCAGACATTTCATTACCCGATTAGGTAACTCATCAGTGCTAGTGAGTGTGGGGTTTGCTCCCTGTTTATATACCGTAATTTGCCCTGCCAGTGTTGGTGGGGGTGTGGTTTCCTCCTTGATAGTTCCTTGATTAGGGTATTGTTTTCTGCTTGATTGTTTGTCTGTTGTTAATGCCTACTAATCTGCATGTTGGCTGCTGAAGAGGATGTGTTCTGGACTTATTGTTCCCTTCTTAGCTTTCTTATTGCCTCTTTTGAATGGTACATAAATGTGGTTTATCTCTGTGTGTCTATTGATGGCTGATGTGTGTGAGTGCCAAGTTTCCAGGAATTACCTCAGCTTTTTGGATTTAGCCTGTCTAAGATGCTCACAGTTTCCCAGTTGAAACTATGGTTGAGTCTGTCCATATGTTGTAAGATTAAGGAGTTTTCATTGTGTCTTCTGACTGCTAGTTGGTGTCCATTGATGCACTCTGCTAGTCTTCTGCCTGTCTGTCCTATATAGTGTTTGTTACAGTCCTTACACTGTGTGTTGTAGATGACTCCTGTTTTTTCTTCTTGGGCTACTTGGACTTTTGGTTTACTTAAGATATTTTGAGGGCTTTAGTTGATTTATGTGCTAGGGTGATACTGTGTGGTTGTAATAGTCTATTGGTTGTTTCTGAGACGTTTCTGATGTATGGCAGCGTTATTCTTTTCATAGCTTGTGTTGGTTGCACTGTAGTGGGTTGAGTGGTCAGACACTTTTGATAACTTGATAAAGTTGCATGGGTATCCCTTTTGTTGGAAGATGTTGTATAGGTGGTCTGTTTCCTTTTTCTGGTGTTCTGGGTTGCTGCAGTGTGTTTGTGCTCATCTGAATAATATTCTTACACAGCTCCTCTTGTGGGAGGTTGGGTTGTTTCTTTGGTAATGGAGCACTTGGTTAGTGTGGATTGTTTTTTGATAGATTTGTGGTTCTAATTTGCCATCATTTCTTCTGCTGATGAGGATATCCAGGAAGGGTAGTGTGTTGTTATCGTCTTCTCTTATGAATTTTATTCCTTTAAAGATGTTGTTGATTGTTTTATGTGTCTCCTCTAGTTGTTCCTTTTTTACTATGACGAAGGTGTCATCTACAAACAGATCCATACTTTTGGTTGTATGTGTGGGAGTGCTATAGTTTCTAGACACTGCATTACAGTCTCTGCAATGAGTCCTGAGAGTGGTGATCTCATGGGTTTTCCTCTGATTTGTTGGTATATTTGTCCACCAAACTGAAAGTAGGTAGTGAGGCAGAGATTAATGAGGTCCATAATTCTGGGTATTTCAGTCTTAGTGTATTTGGTTAAGTCTTACAAAAGCAGTACTACACAACACACTCGACCAACACCAATACTGGCAGAGCAAGCTATGCTATATAAACAGGGAGCAAACCCCACACTCACTAGCACTGATGATGTTATCTAGTTGGGCAATGAAACATCTGCAAGCAAACAACCAAGCTCAGAGAACACCAAGGACTCCACAGTTCAACCCTGAGCTACATATATTCTCTTCTATTGATTTCAGTGGCACTTGGAATCATCATCTGCATTTACTGTGGTATTAGGTGCAATATTGTCAAATTCATGCTGTTTTTAAATCTAATAGTTTTGTTTTTCTTTATGTATGCCTAGGTTGTATGGAGACCAGTAATCTGGGGGATTGCAATGCAGTTTGTTCTTGGACTTATAACCTTGAGGACTAAAGTAGGATTTGATGCATTCAGTTGGCTTGGTAAGCAAGTGCAGGTAAGTGTTGAATAAAGGCAAACGTATTCTTCTTAATTTTTGTGACAAGAGATCGATTGTATGCATATTGGAGTGGAAGGGTGCTTGGAATGTGTGTCTTGGCGTCTGCATTTTTTACTCGGGCATTTGCGCCTCTGCTTAAAGGGTCTTTGGTAAGCAGCCCTACTTGAAATGCTGATGAATTTTCCAGAAGTCAAGATAAATAAATTCAGGCTAGACAGATAATTGATCTGACTGAGTAAAATAGCAGCTATAATATTTTGCTAACATCTCATTCCTGTGCATGTTCACTTACAATTAAATTCTGAATTCTGATTTCATATGGACTCATTCTCAAGAAAAGTTAAGGCAATTCTCTGCTTCAAAAAATATCAGGGAAGTAATCTGATCTGTCCTCACTTGTGACCACGTTTCACTAAATTAAAGGGATTTGCCTATAATTAAACCTGCAATGGGCATTTTGATTTGACTGTGTGCATTTTAAATTATAAATCAGTTAATGCTGCATGTAGAAAAGCACTTATGAAGCAAGAAATGTAATTTTAAAAATAATCCTTTTTAATCTTAAAAAAAGGATAGAAATAAGCAGACTTTACCTTTATAAAGAAATATTCTAAAAGTACAGTCCCCTTCTTTAATCAGTTTAAAGCCTTACAGTTTGTAAAAGAGCACTTTCAATCACCACTTAGAGGTGAACTTGCCTACTAGGCTAAGTGATGGTTTGTTTAAAAAAAAAACATATTTGGCTGAGTTTGCAGGTAGCATTAAGCTAAAACATGATACATGGCTGGCAAACTGAAGAAGTAAGAATCACACAGATTTCTCAAGCACATTAATAATGTGGGTTGAAAACTGTAAGAGTACATCCCTAGGCAGAATTATAGTGAGTTAAATAAGGTGGAATCTCTTTGAAATACTTGCTTCCCATGGCTTTTATATATGGGCTGTGTTATCCTTCCTATAGTTTCTCACAACCAAACACATTGATTGGGCCACATTCACTTGAAAAACCCACAATGTTATATAAAAACATTGTTCTATTTAATATCTAAAAGCCTAATCCAATGCTATCGGGTTATAATGCTATCCTCCAGTGTGAATTATGCTGCCCACATTGTTGATCTGCCACAGGAACAAAGCCAGAAACTTAAGCTGTCCTTACTGTTTTAATGTGGGACATGTTAAGGAGGTCAGTTGGTGGATTCCCCAGCTTGATCTTCCCTCTCCCTAAACATTGCTTGCCAGTGGGAAAACAGTCACCCCACCCCTACTGTACGGTAGGGAAGTGATGGACAAATATAGGTTTGTGCTTGGAACTGAATGTTTAGCTACTTGTCAGTTGCCTAACCAGCAGGTCTTCAGGGCATAGTTCAGCTATTTCTGAGCACAGATTTAGTGTGCTCAGAATTGACCTGCACATAATAACAACAGTCCTCACCATGGCAACTAATAACATCAACATTGGAATGGAATAGACAAGATGGCAGTGTCCCCCTCAACTACCACCACCAAAGTAATAAAAACAATAACAATACGGCCAAGCAAAACTCCTTGTCAGCAGAAGCAGCAGAAATCTCTAACAAGGATCAGCAAAATAAGCAGTAGAACTGTTTTCAAACACAAGTCTAACACTCCTTCTATGTTGAAAACCCTTTGTAAGATTTGACAACCACTTTGAAAAATGCCAGTCAAGCATTGCTTGGACAGATGCCTCTACAGAAATCTGGTCTCTCCTACAGCACAAACCAAAATAGTCAAGACAATTCTCAGTGACCAGAAAGAAGGAGTTCCTTGCAGTAGCCTAAAATGGCTGAAATTACTTGGCAGATCTTAGTCCCTGACTCTATCAATGGCTGCATCATCAGTGAAGCATGCCATATTTCATCCATGGCAAAAGTTGGGCTGGGCTAAGAGGAAAAACTAGAACAGTTACAGAAGACTTTAAGTTGCATTGGCTCTGGACTGGAAATGAGACAAAGTCACAAAAGTCATGGGAGGAAAAGGCAGTTACTGGAACATATTCATGCCATGGGCAGAGGACATGAAGATGAATCCTAAGAGCAGAAAAAATATTCTCTTCCTTGCCAACTATCAAGGAAATATCATTGACTGTAGAAGCAGCAAAAAACATCTTAAGCATACCTGAGCTTAACTAGAAATTGTTCATACAAAAGCCTACAGAAGATCCAAAGGCAAAAACATAGAGAACTTACAAAAAAAACATTACTTTATTCTTTAACCTCAGTCCTGCATCCTTTGAAATCATGATTCAGCAATGGACTTCTGCAGGCAAATAATATACAGTAACTATTTAAATGGGCTGGTTAATGCAGTTTTTCACAGTCTGTTGCCCTCCAAATGTTTCATTTCTCATAACCAATGAACATCTGTTAGAAATAGGGTATCTAGGAGAAGAGAAAAACCTCCAGGTTATTAATCATTCTGCCATAAAATATTACAGTACTGTTGTACCATAGCAAGGTATTACAGAATATTTTTTTTTCTCTTCCTCATGTCAATACAGCTCTAGCACTTGTTACTGTCAGTGAAGCATTTTTAAATACAGTAATGCCTTTTCTTTTAAATATTCTTCTGTATTACCACTGCTTCCGTTTCCCATATCTCTCCCTATGGAAGTGCCCTTTGTTTCGAAACAACTCCAGAATATTTCACTTGCAGATTCACTTTGATCTGCACAATTTATACAATGCTTTTGCCATTAAAATATGTCCAAATGATAGAATTAAAAGGTCCCCAAATTTTGCATTTACATGTCCTGCCCTAGCTTTTTTAAGTCCCAGAGATCATTATCCCTTTTTTGTAGGACAATATAGTGCTTTTTTCCTCATGAAATTGCAGGATACCTGGACTGTGGCTTCAGTCACAAACATAAATCTCTGAATTTCCTCAAGGCCTAGCAACAGTTCATTTACTTCTTATCTTGGCATTGGTGGGAGGAAGCAATCTAGAATCTCTTGTAGCACTAAAAGCCTGGGGTTCAGAGATACTGATCCTGTGTAATGACAAAAAAATAAAAAATAAAAATAGATCAGCTGCTAAGAACCAGGAAGAAGAAAAATAGTGCCTCTCCCACAATGCTTATTGTTTGCTTACCCTGAAGCTGTGAAAAGTTTCTCTTTCAATCCCAGTTGTATGCGGGTGGGATTTCTACTTACGCAGTGAATGGTCTGGGTGAAAATAAAAACAAGACAGCAATCTTACTTTCCATTTAAGAACAGGAAAGCATCTTACACAAATTACCTGTGTGGTGGGGTGCATAGAATCCAGCTTTTAACAAGAAGTCCAAGCTCAGAGAAGAAGAAGAAGTCACATTCTGTGAGTCCCTAGAAACTGATACTTCCTTTACCAAGGGAGTTTCCCTTGATCCAAGAGTTCATGATTCATTAGTTCTTATTTTCAGTTGACCCTACTGCAATTAATCACTTGACCACTGAATCCACAATGACTGGCTGACAATTTGAGAAATAAGTGTCAGGATTAGAATTATGGTGATGGTTTGTTTTTTTCTTACAACAACTTATTCTCCCTCTTTCTTTCTCTTCCTTTTAAGATTTTCTTGGGATACTCAGATGCTGGTGCTAAATTTGTGTTTGGTGAAAAGTATACTAATCACTTCTTTGCCTTCAAGGTAAGTAGCCATTGTTTTTGTTGTACCTGGCTCAACAGTCACTGAGCCATAGTGGGTAAGGAACAGGTAAAGCACAGATTATTTTTGTGTATATTTTCCTTTCCTAAAAGAAATATTCCTGTTTGATGGGGTTGCACTACTCCAGGCAGACCCGGTGTGTAATCTGGGGGTTCTCCTGGACTCACGACTCCTACTCGAAGAGCAGGTGGCAGTCGTGGCTAGGAAGGCCTTTGCATGACTTCATGTTGTGTGACAGTTACACCCCTTCCTGGATCAGGAGGACCTCTGCACGGTCACTCATGCCCTGGTCACCTCCGGGTTGGACTACTGTAATGTGCTCTACATGGGGCTACCCTTGAAGAGTATCCGGAAGCTACAGCTGGTACAGAATCTGGCAGCGCGGACAGTTCTCAATGCCCCTAGGAGGGCACATATAACACCGCTGTTGCGTGAGCTGCATTGGTTGCCAGTTTGTTTCCGGGTCCAGTTCAAGGTGTTGGTCATCACCTTTAAAGCCCTTCATGGCACAGGACCAGGTCATTTCAGCCCGCCCCACTCGGTCCAGCAGAAGGGGCAAGTTGCAGACCCCACCAGTCAAGGAATTTCGATTGGTGGGGTCTAGGCAGAGAGCCTTTTCTGCTGTGGCTCCCACCCTATGGAACATCTTGCCTCCC